GTTTAGGGTTTGAGGGTTTGAGGGTTTAGTGTTTTAGGATTTCGGGTTTGAGGGTTTTAGGGTTGAGGGCATTAGAGGCCTCATCTATTGGAAAGCCAGCAAAGGCTATGGATAAGCCGGCGCTAAAAGCACATTGTGAACTGTCTCTTCACTGAAACAAATTTAAGATTACTGAAGTTGTCTCGTAGTCTACCTACTTCCAACCCACCCTATACCCCACACCCTAGATAGAAGTTTCCACTTCATGTTTCATGTTGTTTCCCAGTTCGTTCTCCATTACTTGTCATCATTCAAGTCCTGAATCCTAATTACCTGTCTAAGGACAGCATTGGCTGCGGTGCCCTGCAGCCACAAAGCCTCTCGCCGTGCTGTGCCTTTGCTGATTGCGCTTTCGGGGCGCATTTGGCGGTTTAGGGCTTATTCTTTACACCCCAAACCCAAGAGCAGGTTACATAACAGCCTTTTTAACTCTTTCTGGGTGTTGGGCCATTGTTTTCAGTCAGTTAGTGCTTTGGATCACGGCTTGGCGTGTCACAGTGTAAGATCTAGGGGGTTTAGGGCTCAGAGTTTAGGGTTTAGAGCTTTGGGTTTAGGCTTTTGAATTTAGGGTTTAGGATTCAGGGTTTAGGATTTATGAGGTTTAGGGTCTAGGGTTCCATGGAAGTCTCGAGTTCCTAACACGCAAGCAATGAGGAGACAACATGTCTTCTTCCTTAAGGTTCTGAATGCCCTGAGCTCTGAGAACATCCCCTGAACTCCGAACCCTGAAGCTTGGGGCTCGGGATTCAGCATCTCAAGTCCAAGCATTCATGTGTTGAGCAGTCTCAACAAATAACGGACAAATACACACCCGCCCATTGGGTCCCACATCATGAAGAAACAAACCTATACCCTAAACTCTACATCTTGAACCTTAAGCCCTAAATCCGGAATCCTCAACTCTAAACCCTGAACCCTAAACCCTAAACTCTCAACCCAGAACCCTCCCATTTAGCTTAAACCCTAGGGCTCTAGCCTAAGGCCATGGGGTACCACCCATGACCTTGCCCAGTAAGCACATGACCTTGCCAGTTAAGAAAATGACCTTGCGCACCAAGTCAGTAACATTTAACTTATGTATGAAAGAGAGGTTCAGGGTGTACGGTTTAGAGTTTAAGGATTTAGGGTCTATAGGAGTGCACAATCCCAAGCAAAGACAGTTCAGGATATCCTCGCAGAAAAAGCGTGTACCCCGGAAGGGGTCGCCACGTGCCACCCAAATGATTGAAGTGTTGAACAATGGAACCCCCCAAACACGCCGTGCTTGCCGTTCTCAAGCCTTAAACCCTACACCCTCAACCAGAAGACCTTTTTAGAGCCCTTGGGTTCCAATGGGCAACGCTAAGCCCATCGTCAGTTAGGGGGGTGTACTGTATGTGTGGGGGGGGGGGGGGGTCTGAAGCGATCGTAGGACATAGCTGGACCATATTAAGCCTCATACGCCCTTCTCTTACATCCCTATGCGCTGCCGAATGAACACCTTATCCCTGCCCAACGTGTCCGAGTACCAACCGCATACACTGAGGCCGATTTAGGCCCCAGTGTGCTTGCAGGAGAAGCCCTTTCTAGTACATACGGTGGATAGGAAAAGAGGCCTGCATGACAAAAGTATGCTACTCCACGTCAAGTCATCGACATTGAAAAAGCCTTAAAAATTAAACCCGAAACCCTAAACCCTGTGGATTCCAGACACTTGGTACAGCACGTCCTCGCAAACGACTCCGAGGAGACTGCTAACGCCAAGGCCGGTAACGGTTTAACGTGTAAAGCTTACGGGTTTAGGGTTTAGGATAGGTTCTGGGGTTTAGCGTGTGAGAATCCACCCTAAACCAGAAACCGTTTGGGGCTTCGTGTGTAAGAATTTGGTGCTTTCAGGTCTGAGGGTTGAAGGTTTTATTGGTTTAGGGTCTGAAAGGCTAAGGTTTGATTGAGTGTTCATGGAACGAAGGGCTCCAGGGTGTTGCCTTCAAGGGTTTCGGCTTTGGGGACTCCTTTCGAACCGAAGTAGATCCTCAGTGTTGGATACCCTCAAGCAAGAGAGGCGCCCAAAGTTTGTTCCGAGCTCGTTTGAGGGAATGTCTGTAAGACCTGACCCCTTCCTAGCGTGGATGCTCATCTGCAGTTCTAGTGGGGTTATAAGTAGGACATCGGAAGTCAGAACCTTTACTCGGGGGCTTAGCCCTACTTATAACTACCAATGAACCTGAAAATAGCCCTAAACCCTAAACCCCCAAACCTAATCTGGGAGGTCCTTGGGGCCTGTCTGATGAGAAGGGGTATCCAGGGGTATATAGGGAAATGTAGGTGTCCATGTGTAGATAGAGGGTTTAGGGTTTATATATGTATACTTTGTGGGTTTAGGGTTTAGGGGCTAAAGGTCTTGTTGAAACAAGGGGCCATCGAGAATGGAGATCCTAACCAAAAAGGGAATCTGTTTCATGTTGGAGCAGGTAGTTTAAACGACTATCCTAGGTATTTGTATACACACAAACACCCACGCACGGCTCAGGTTACTAGTGTAGGGCCTTCAATGATTTCAATAGGCTTTGGGATATTTGGTATTGTGTTTGTTTTCAGTATGACAGATTGTGCCTAGTTTTGTGGGCTATATTTTTCGTCTGGATCCAAGCCCCTCAAAAGATAGCCGTTTTACCTTTTCGGACTTTCCCGGGTTACGCTCGCAACTGGAAACCTGCACCAGTATTCTACGGCCCTAAACACCCTCGACCCCAGAATACTCCTCACCCCTGAGGGGCCATATGGTAACCTTTGAAGGGGTTCCAGGGGTATATAGCGACATCTAGGGACATGTAGGGGTATGTGGATTTGTAGGGTTTAGGGTAAAGGGTCCACGTATCCAATAATTGTGTACTTGGATTTTCGGGCGCGTAATTGCAGTACAGGTTTTGGAGATGTGTATGATTCTTGAATATTTGGACCAATAGGAGACATGTATCGCAGCCAAGGTACCTTACCGGAACTTTATCGATTTTCTAGTCGCCTGCTTCGAGAAACCCTTGCAGGTTTGTTGTAAGCCTTCGAATCTCACTTAAGCCCCCAAGTAGGGTCATTCCCCTTTGCAGTACCAGCTACCACAAGGAATAGCAGGAGTTCTACTAGCCCCGTAATCAAACCCCCTTCAAGGACAGCCACTTGGAGGGGGCATGATAAAACCCCCCAACCCTAAACCCCCGGAGCGTTGAACCCTACAACAAGTCCTGAAACACACTGACCCCAATATAACCCCAATATAATTCTGATATAACCCCAATATAACTCCAACATAACCCCAATGTAACCCTAGCATTCCCCTTTATAGAACCTCAATTTGGGCAAGAGGTCATCGTGTTTTGCCAGTCTGTCAACACGGCTCACCGGCTGACACGACTCCTTCAGAGCCTTGGATTTACCATGAGAGCCATAATCTAAAGTCTTTAAAGGGGGTAATATAGGGGATTGTACAGGGGACTATTATAGGGGTTACTAAGGGGGGTGCTAGCAGCATAGACTATAGTTCACATGGAATCTCCGGTCAAGGGCTTAGGGCTCAAGGGTTAAGGGTTTGGGTTTAGGGAGTTTTACTTCTGGTTAGTAGGGAATGATGGAATGGAAAGGAGCCTGGAAGCTAGTGACTTGTTGGGAATGATATAGGATCTTAGGGTTTTAGGCTTTCGGGTTTCGACAGGGATTCATTCATTCCTTCCCTCGTTCATTCATAAGGTATGTAGAATAATAGCCTTTTGGGCTATTTTACGTGGTTTGGGCCATTATTTTGCCTTTTTGGGGGGTCCAGGTAGCTTTAGGGTTCGGGATGTATATATCCCCTGTATATACCCTATTTAGTATGTTATAGTTCATTTTAGTATATTTTTTGTAGTATGTTATAGTTTGTTTATTAGTATATTCTTGTATATTATAGTATCTTATAGGTCTTTGGGCTTTCTATGCCGGATGGAGGATATGCTTGGAAATGCAGGTAATTGGTACTCAGAATTCAGCCAGCCTAGGTGCCCTCCATTAACTGCCCACTAGACCTCGAAGACAAGCTTTTACTCTGGGACCTCAAGTAGTTTGATGGTATCTATCTTTGTGTATTTTACAGCCTGGGTGGGATCTTTCAGTTGCTTTGCTACCTGCCATGTTTGAAGCCTAGGTGGCCCCTCTTACTCCAACTTGTTGCAGGGTTGCATAAGGATTAGGGTTTAGGGTTTAGGGTTTAGGCTGGTGAGGCGGGGGTCAATTCGTAAGCCCACGCAGTAAGCATCTTTACCCTCATCCCCAAACCCTACGCCCTGGCCCCTACCCTAATCCCTAAACTCTAAATACCCCTAAACACTGGTCCCTAAACCGCAAACCCTAAACCCCTAAACCTACCCCCTAAATTTAAAAACAATTCCCACTAAACTCACAAACCCCTAAACCCGTAAGCCCAAAGTACTTCTGTGAGGATCCTTTGGGCTCTCCGCAACGCGCATTCGAGGCGGCGGGCGAAGGTTTAGGGTTAGGGTACCTTCGGAGTTTAGGGCATAGGATTCAGTGGTTCGGGTTAAAATAAAAATGGGGCTTGGAGGTTAAGGTTATAGGGATTAGGCTTCAGGGAGCAAGGCTTCGGGAATACGGTTTAGGGATGAGGGAGGATTGGCAACCTCGCAGCCCGAAGACCCCAACATTCAAAGCTTTGCTAAGCAACCCCTGCTTGGATTTCGGGGGCAGGGTTGAGGGCAGAATACATGGGTTTTGAGGTATTTTTAGGGGTGTTGGTCCATTGTGTTACCCATGTTTGGGTCCGGATACCTACATAGAACCCAACTTTAAACCCCCTCAGTCGCAAGTAGGGCTTTTCTTTCTGAGGCATGTAGCGTCTATAATTTCGTCATGACTCAATTTGTCTTCGTACTTGGTCTAGATGTACCCTAAACCCTAAACCCCCAAGTAGTCAGTAAGCCAAGCTTGCTTATCAGGGCGTCCTCGGAGCTCGCGGAGGAAGAGCAGAAAACGGACGACGAAGCAAATTGTCTGATTTTCCCCAGAAAGAGTCAGGGTTTAGGGATTCCAGGTAGCCGTATAGTATCAAAAACTGGCCTCTTTGGACCCTAAGTATATACCATGCCTGGACTCTTTGGGCTTGTTATTGTTTATTGGGGCATCTGTTTTGCAAGACATGACGGGAATAGTGCCAAAAGTTCCTAAACCCTGAGCCCTTAACAAACAACAAATATGGAGATCTTGGTGATGACAAGGATCTTTACAGGGAAGGGCTTGGTGTAGTACCAGAGTGCTGCGGAGATGAATTCAGAGTGTAAACCCAAGCCGAGCCTAAATCTTAAATCCTACACCCTAAACCCTGAAGCTTTGCCTGCTTGCCTTGGGGTTGGCAAGTATAGCTTAGTCGAGACTAGGTTCGCAAGTCACTTGTGCGCGCTCTTTTTTTACCTGAGAACTGCTGCGGTAGTAGTTCGTTTAAGGAAGCTGTTAGAGGACGTATGCAACAGGTGACGAGGGGATTTTGAAGGCTAGCTTTGGTTGCTATAGGATTTCATTTGTAGGCTTCACACTTTTTCTAGTTTGCTGTACGGCCTCATGTTGAGACGTCTGAACGTCTCAGGGGAAATCTTCTACAATCAAAGTTCGTCTAATGAGCAGCTGAATCCTAGACTCACAAGAGTACTGACATGAGCACACCACTGAAAAATATTGACATATTGCTCGTAGATGTCTTTTCCCCTTAGCTGCCGGAACTCTGGTCTATCCTCTGTGCCGTACAGGTACGCGGAGGATCATCCCTAAACCTTAAACCTACTAAACCTTTATTCCAATGGTTAGTCACAAGTAGCATTGCACGTAGCTCTGACTACATCTACGTAAAGATGCCCTAAACCCCAAACCCTAAACCGGCCGCTAATGATAAACTCCCGGCAGTTATTGGGGGAGGGTGCTTACGCCATTGTAGCTTGAGCCTTCTCATGTAGGAATTTCTCAAAATCGTCCCCACATAAGCCCAAATAAGGACGGCCATACTCCCCTCATGATCCCTATATGGACGTTTGCAAAGATTAGGGGTACTGTCTGGAGGTCCC